TTTCTACGGCTACAATAGATAACAGCGGCATTTTCGATTTCTTCGTCTTGTAGTCATCTGATTTCCTGTCAAGTAATGCTCATCTATTAGACAGAGCTGTCATTGCTTGAAATTTGACATTCCATGGGCGATGAGTTTTTTTGATATAATAACACAATGGAGTCATTGTGATATCAGATACAGAAATAAAATTGATGACATACAAAGTATACCTCATTGATGTATCGAACACAGTAAAACAAGAGCAATCTTGTGTTATAGCCGTAGAGACCGAGGTAGAGACTAGTATATTGTTCAACTAGCACGGAATTATAGTGATTTCCTACGAGAATGAAATTTGCAGCATGAGCCATAGGCGAATGCTGCAATAATTCGAGTAGGAAATTAGAATTCCGTGCAAGATATACACTATAATTTTTCTACGGCTATAATAGATAACAGCGGCATTTCCGATTTCTTCGTCTTGTAGCCATCTGATTTCCTGTCAAGTAATGCTCATCTATTAGAAAGAGCTGTCATTGCTTGAAGTTTGACATTCCACGGGGCCCAGATAGCACGGGACGTCCCGAAGACGTCCATTTTAGGTCCATTTTTGGTCTAAACGTCCAGGACCTTTTATGGACGTTTTTAAGACGTCCATTATTGGACATACTCCGGACGTCCAGAAAAAGACGTCTTTAAAACGTCCAATTTACAGACTCTCACGGTATATCAGTTTAAATTGATATAAGTAGGTAGGTATATATAAATTTTGAAATTAGAATTATCGAATTGAATATGGACATGAATAATGTCAAAAAATATATTATATATCAGCCGAGATATCAGCTGTATCAATATATTGAATTTCATTTTATTATTAATATTATGAATTTGAAATATTTATGATTTTAACTGATTTGTACCAACTTATATAGTTATGTTGAATCATATTCCTTCAATCACATAATACCTATACAGTTTGACCATTCTTAAACCCACACTGAAGTATTCATACAAGCCGCGGTTTTATAATAAGATTTGATTGAATCACTGAATATGTAAAGCAACCGTAGAACGCATGCGTGCTCAGCGTTGCCAGACTTACTATTTTAGCAGTAGATCTACTGTTTTTGTCTCCGTTCTACTGTTCAACTATTCAAGGCAATGGTCTGATTGGTCAAGTTTTGATATGACGTAACTACCCAATATGCAACAATGAAAAATTAATGGGACATCACAGTAAGAAGATGTATGATAAAAATATACTGCAACTATCATATTCAGTCTGATTAGTGAAAATTAGCTTTTATTTCCAATCTGGTTGCGGTTTTCACAAATTTTATTTTTTATTTCATTATTTTTTGTTATTCTTCGTTCGATTTTTGATAGGTATAGAGACCGAACATGATTTTTTTTTTCGTTTATTATATAGGTGACTATGTTTTTTCATTTATGATAGCAATTGTGATGATTATCAAAATCTTCTGTTCAGTTTTGATGATCTACTGTTTTTTCCCCACCCATCTACTGCTCCGACAAATTTTCATCCGGCAACACTGTGCGTGTTACGTGTGAAACTGTGAAACGAAAACGTAGGAAGATGGCGTCCGTCAGTTGACCACTGCCGAGTGCCGATTAAATTGTGATTCAGGTCCAAGGACATTCTGAACTTTTCGGGACTGTAAAAGCAGTGAATAAGTGAAATCTTTGCGGATATCATCTATCAACTGGTGAACTTCGATCTCGAGTTCCATCGAGATGTTTATTTGAAGGCAAGTATGGCTATCGACGCTATCGTTTTATTTTCATTCGCATGAAGATGCTTGAGTAGAACATCAAATCTGTAGTTGAAAACATTAGATACCTTTCTAAATAATTTGATCTCATGCAAAGCTCTACCTAATCCTATTTCCATCATCTACCAAAGTTTATATTTTTGTATATAGTTAAAACATAATATAATTCGTGCAAGGTTCATAGAGGTTATATAGGTACCTACCTAAGAATCAGTTTATGTATGGAATAAGTTCTCAATGAAATAAAAATAATGAAGTATTCCGCTATACTGACTACTACACGTTGAAAGTGGGTGTGTGTTTATGGTTTATGGTATTCACAGAAGATGTTATTGAATATTATTATTATTTACAGATCCAGTGAAGAAGACAACAGAAGGCTGCCAATCAGAAAAATACATCATCGCGCCTGCGTACCTGGATGAATCACGCGACGTTTTTAGTGGTGCAGCTGCTGATATACGATATGGAAGAGTGAAATTGAAACAACTACCTGAATCTCTGTTCATATTATTGTTTGCGAATAAATGTTAACTAATATTCAAGTATTTCACTCTTCAGATGGGTCAGAAAATCAATAATCAATATTGTCTGAATGTCCTCAATACGTCCATTTTCCATCCCAAAAAGGTCCTAGTCTGGACCTAGACTGGACGTCCCCAAAACATCCTGATTATTAACAATGGACGTCCTCAAAACGTCCATAAGACGTCCGTCGTCCGGAAATGGACGTCCCCAAAACGTCCTGAATGTCCAGAGTGGACGTTTTTAAAACGTCCATAAGACGTACTTGTGCTGATTGGGGGGCGATGAGTTTTTTTGGAAATAATAACACAATGGAGTCATTCTGATATCAGATACGGAAATAAAATTGATGACAAACAAAGTACCTCATTGATGTATCGAACACAGTAAAACAAGAGCAATCTTGTGTTATAGCCGTAGAAAAAAGCCGTTGTTCTTCCTCCAATGCGGCTAAATACCTTCATCGGAATCGACCCATCGATCAGCTCACCATCATTAGGTCCTCCAGCGACCTTGACCGCTGCATGCACCACCTGTTAGCCACTTCCGCGGACTCTTCCCTAGGAGCCATTTCCTCATCATCAGCAGCTCGCCCGAATACTACACAAAAAAAAATTGATGCTGAGTATTCGAAATTCGTGACAGTACTCGTTAAATGAATGACGGATACCAGTTGGAACGGCATAACGATTTTTTGGACATTTTGTACAAAGCGGAAAGTCAATTCAAAATACGTTCAGTTCTGGCGTTTTATAGATGGATATGCCACTACTAGTTTACTAGTTGATATTTTCAGGCAACTATAGTAGCTATTCGGTAATGTAATCTAATATGTAAAATTCTCATGTCCCTGTCACGGTGTTTGTCACCAAGCTCCCCAAAAAGGGAGCTTCCCACGATGCCCACTTCCCACGATGCCCAATTCCCACAATGCCCAATTCCCACGATGCCCAATTCCTACGATGCCCACCTTCATGTCGACGATTACGAAGATTGCCGAAGGGCGCAACGTTGCCAGGTCAAGAGGAAAATTCAGAAAACACAAGATTTCCATCATGCCCACTTTTCATAGATTCCCACGATGTCCAATTCCCGCGATGCTCACTTTCCATACATTCCCACGATGCCCACTTCTCATCGTGTAAATTGGGCATCGCGTTACGCACCCCTCAAAAACAGCTTGGCCAATTCTTATGAAATTTATTGTGCATATTCGGTAGATCTGAGAATCGGTCGTAAACTATTTTTCGAATATGGCGGACGTGTTTTGTAATCCGATTTTATTCAAAATTGGTATCTGAGGGTTTTCGGGGTCGGATATTATAACTCTTTCGTCAAAATGTGAAAATTTAAGATGGCAGATCCAATATGGCGGTCGAGTTTTGTAATTATTATGATCCTTGATGATTATTCTATTCGAAATTGGTATCTGGGGTTTTCGAAGTCTGAGATGATACAGAGAAGTGCACAAAAAACGGCCATGATTGTAACTTTTGAATTATTCTAGATAGGGTTTCGAAAATTATTCCAAATTGCTCATTAATTGATGAAACAATGTTTCTATCTATCACTTCCAGTTCCACGGGAAACGACCCCAACTTTTGATCTTTAAATGAGACAAGTTGTATTATATTCCATAATCGGTTAGGGATTATCATGACGAATTCAACGATACCGGGTTTGATAGGGTTATTTGAAATGATTAGAGAACATCGTGAGAACCAAGGGAAATAAGGAAGGAATTGGTGTTCTTCTTAAATTTCTGGAGCTTATATGCTTCGGGGAACACCTTTCTTGGCAATGTGTTCCAGAGCCTCGCTGTTCGTTGGATGAACGAGTCTTTAGAAAGAGATGTTCTGCAGGTCTCCAAATTGACCACGAAGGGGTGCGAAGCCTCAACTCAACGGGTTCTTCTCGCGAGGACTGCCAAGGAAGGAACAATTGTTGATATTTCAGAAGAGCATCGTCCATGAAAATATTTATAAAATGAAGCAGATCGCCAACTTTTTTACGGTGTTCCAGAGAGGTGAGTGAGTTTGTGAGCGAGGCATCACCCACGAGACGAATTGCCCTTTTTTGGGCAGAATCCAACAGCTTCCCACCAATTTTCAAAGCCCTATCTCAAATAATATGAAAGTCCTAGCCGTTTTTTGTGCACTTCTCTGTACATGATTTCTTCCTCAAAATCCTAATGATGATCCGATTCTATTCGAAATTGGTATCTGGGGGTTTTCGGAGTTTGAGATCATGATTCTTTCGACAAAATTTAGAAATTTAGAATGGCTGATCCAATGTGGCGAACGAGTTCTTTAATTATGATCCGATTCTATTCAAAATTGGTATCTCGGGGTTTCCGGAGTCAGAGATTATGATTCTTCCGTCAAAATTGGGAAATTCAAGATGATGGATTCAACCGAGCTATGTTATGAATAGTGCCAATAGTGGTTTGAAAAACTATGATGAAACACGCTTTTATAGATAGCCAAACTCGATGATACACTGAATAGAAGTGACAGATAGATAGTATGGTTCGAGAAACTAACCCATTTTTTCCGTGTAGACTAACAGTTTTTGCCATCATTCCGAGGGCTGGAGTTCTTCTAGCGCGACCAGCCATAACACCACCACCAGACACGCGGAACACCATTTCGCTTCGGTTCTTCTTCTTTGACAGTAGCGGTAGATCCGTTGAGAATCATAGGAGGCTTGCCGGCTCAAACTTCAAACAGAAGACTGTGCGCGCCCGGAGAACTCGATGTCGTTGTGTTGACGTTCAACAGGTTGGAGGTTGTGCGATTGTTTTGGCGGGATTTATGTACGTTCGAACGCAGTTGAAGGGACTGAGTGCGTAGACATGTTTGAATCAAAATTGAAACTCAGGACAGTATCTGCTGGATGTTTAGTTTGTTTTTTTATGCAAATGGTGAGTGTGATTTGTAGTTTTTATACTTTTTTGTTATCATTTTTTGAATTTACTCGGCCGTTATTTGATGGAAATCCATTGCGAATGTAAAAACTTCACAAACGATAAGACCACACGACATGTTTCGCTAACACAGTATAGCTTCATCAGGTGAAATAATGATACAAAGAACCAAACTAAAAAAAAAAATCAGGGGTATACAAACTCAACTGTGGATCTTCTCCTACATCTCTCCAGATTACTATAGACTAGCTAGGGGACAAACAGGCATTAATCACTATATGGTAAGGTAAGCTTTTCAATCTTTTGCTGAACAATATAAGGGCCCTAAGTTTCTCTCCTAATGTATTTCATGTTTTTTATTACATTTCATGTTTCTTTTTCTATAATGTATTACGAGATGTATTATGTGTTTTATTGATATAACATGATTTTTAAATGAAGTTGTTTCATCTCTTCTTTTTAATGTATATTTTTTCAATATCATTTTGTTATGCAGGCTAGCATAATCGACATCGACCTGTGTAAAAACACCATGTATATTAACACCAATAAATCTAGATCTGAATCATAAATCTAAGGTATATATCGGTCAGACAGGTCACACGTTTAATCAGCGCATTCATGAACATAAGATGCATTTTTTCAAAAGAAAACAAGTTCAACATACGTCCACCATATATTAGAAGAAAACCATAGTTCTGATGATAATTTCGAAATTCTACACGTAGAAAATAAAGGAATGAAACTCAATCATTTTGAATCATTAGAAATCAACAAACTCAAAAATTTTAACATTTTACTCAACGATCAACTAGACCTCAATAGTTCACCACTGTTGAATTTTTTTTCTCAGTAGGTAATAATATGTATTTGCTATCAACCCTTCAAGGTTGATCCTATTTGCCTATTTTCCGAAAATGAAGGTTTATCAAACCTGTTCACAGGTATAATTCTAATCCTCTAGGTTGGGAAAGTAGGATAAATAAAAGTTGGGCAAGAAAAGGTTAGTTTTGTTCATTGTACCAGTATTTCCTCGAGTATTTCACCTGATGAAGCTACTGTGTTAGCGAAACATTGTCGTGTTATTGAGTTTTCAAATTTTTTTGTTATCAATCGATAATTTTTATCAGAAGTTATTCCCAGATGTACACAGTTTCCCAAATTGGCTTTACCCATCCTGACATCTCGAAACATTGCGAAAACCGAAGCGCCAATGCCATTTTCACAATCAATTTCAACACGTGTTCATATTGTGAGATTCATTTTCTATGCAAAAGTAGCTTGAAACAATACTCACACTTCTACAATTTCCTAATTCTATTGAAGAATTTCATACTTTTCCATCGATCAGCAGAAGATGAGCTTAGAGAGGCTCGAAACAATGAACGAAAAATAACGATTTTTGAAATTTGCGATGAGAGAAATTTAATTGAGATTCTTCGCCAAAAAATACTTTCTTGGTGGAATATACTCTCACTTCGATGAAATAAATGCCATATCTAGTCAGATCCACACAATTTTCCTCGAAATAAATATGTATAGGAAATTCAAAATAAGATTCTGACAGATTACTGTAGCGGCAAAATACGGTTCTGATGAACTGTATTTTCTATACAATACGGTTTCGTTCACTTACAATTCCGTCAGAATACGAAGTTGATAAAATACGGTTACGATGAATTACTGCTCCATTAAATTACGGTTCAGTTGAAATATCATTTTGATCAAATTTATTCTGATACAATACGATTTTGATGAAATACATTCTGACGAATTATATGAAGCCTCTCGATAACATGTAGTAGCATCTTATCGTTCGGCAATAGTGCTAAACGGTGCTAAAATTATTTATTCTCTTCTCACACACGATCACAGTCACGGTTTGTTTCGAAATATTTTGACGTCCTTCTTCGCAGAATAAATGGAATAGAATCGTTGAGAGCTATCATAGAATCAGTTCCTCCAACTTTAAATAGCCATTATGTTTTTTCACAGTCGAGTAATCATTGATGTTTCTACACTGGACCGCCCACACTGATAAATGATCCTAAAAATCTCACCGAATAGTCTGATTCCAATTATGATATGGTAAATTACTTTTGATTCATTCCAGATTTTGCTCATACCTAACTGTACTGAACCACTTTGATTATTATAATTATTATTTTCAACATCGAAGCTTCTCATATATCTGATGTTCCCATTTACTCATATAATGCTCAATAAATAGTCTTCGAAATGCACTGCATTCAGTGGCAAATCCAGGAAAAGTAATATTAACTTACGTAACAAGTCTGGAACAAACTGTTTTCTTAGACGAGTAGACAAAATTCTCGGCCAAGCCGTAGGCGAGTCCTGCTGGAAGTCTGCGAGCCCAAAAAAACTATTTTTGGATGTGTGTTGCGTAAACAATATTTTCGGCAACCATGTAGAATAACAAACCAATAAGACACATTTCCATATTATATTTCTTTGTAGAATAAAAGTTCGAACATTCTAACTATTATTTGTATCAAATACTGACATTCGGACAGAATACATATATACCTACTAAAAGCTGCCTTAGTAATTTCTTATGGACATTTTCAAACTCATTATCGCTGCTGCTTTTCATAGTTTATTGCGAAAATAAATTTTGATAACTGCATTCAGTGCAATTATCAATGATAATATTTGTGGCAATTTCCTTTTTGGCGAGTATCCCTTTTTGCTCTTCATCCTCTGTTGATGTTCAGGCAGTCACAGTGAAGTTCCTATAGGTACACGAATATAATGGTAAAATACTTATATCCTCTGAAATAAAATCAAAGTGCGTCTTCAGAAGTCAAAAATTCACCCTTAAATAGTGTTTGTGGATAAATATATCTTGGTGTTTCATGACACTCGAAAAACAAAAGTTTTCTTGGTGCTTGAGTGGTTTACGAGGTGTTTCATTGAAGGGTCAACGTTTAAGAGAAGAATATCCCTTTGGTATTGAAATGGCTATATAATAGTTAATCGTGCCCTATATCTATAAGCATATTGTGAAGCTAATAACTCTAATATTGCTATAAAGTCAGATCAAGAATACAGAGTTATAAATTCAGGTAATAAAAATTGTTCAAGCTCCAGTGGTTAGCTGTTTGCCGTGTGGCATTGATAGCTCGTTGAAATAATTTATATTTAACCGATATAAAACCGTGATATCAACTTCAAAATAGTGTAATTAATTGAGAACTAGTTATGTGACTGATGCTCGATAACAGTAAAAGTTTACAGTAAATACGGAATAAAAGGAAATTATCGAACAGGTTGTATCAGTGACACAGCCATATCTTGAGGATGGTCGAGGAATCTGATTTTGCACATATTTACTTTCTTCGGTTTCTTCTCGTTTTATGTACTGAGTACTCAATTATAATAATTATTGTAAACCGTAAGGCACACTCTTCAGTTATGAAACGGAAGATCTCAATGCCTGTTATGAGATGTTGAATTCAGTTGTTATATTCGGTAAACCTATTCGCGACATTCACGAAGTGGGCGACATCTAGGTTACATAATACGAACTTAAAACTGGGGGAAAACGAACTGTTGTCTATAGATAAAGTGCATAGACTACATTGCATTCAGCTTGCTGTAGCTGTAGTCAAACTTGTCAATGACATGAAGTTTTGGCACTGTTGGTAGTGATGATGGTTGGGTTGGTTAATTTTTTTACATTATTACATTTTTATTAGTTAAGTGAACAGTGAACGGGTGAAGAATTGGAGAAAGTTCAAACAATTCAAACTAATTATGACGAGCAAATCAATTGACATATAAAAGAACAGCTTATAACATGTTTACAATACCCAGATTGTCCTGCTTTGCATGAAAAAAATACAAATCCATTGTTCTACAGGAGTTCATCTGGACCCCAACTTCAATTTTACTTCATGTGGGGAAGATTTCATCGCCAAAGTTTGTAGACAAAGTGCAAAAATGTGCCTTCTGTTGAAGTCTTCTGCCTCACACAAAATCACATGATTAGCACGGATAACTGCTTCTCCTTCCACTACTGGTCGGCTTTTTCCATCTAAATAGAGCAAAATATCTGCCAAAAGAACATCTACAACAGGCATTATTGGCGTTTTCGATCGAATATTGACAATTAATGTCAAGAAATTCAAAAACTTATCAGTACACAGTACACAAGCTACCAAAGAATGGTATATTATTATATTCACGTGCACACAGCCCAGCAACCCTCAATCAATTATTTTCACTACGAGTGTGTGGTATTTGTACCTCATTTACACCCAAATTCTTTCCTTGATGATCACTATTGATCTATTGATGCGGAAAACAACAATACGAGACTATAAACTAACCAACGAAGGAATAACTGGTTCAAATCAAATATGGCTTACTCATTACCTATATAATACAGGGTGTTTCATGATATGCGGCATGCACTTCCGAAAGTAATAAAGCATCCCATCCAAATAACACCGAAACAATTCAAGAGGCGTTTCCTTGTGACATTCTAGCGAATCAAGCTCATATAAACATGTGTTCTAGCTTGCTCCGTTTTTGAGATACAGGATCGATGTTGAAGTTGGAAGTATTGGTTGTTTTTATTCATAACCCCCCTGTATAAGCTTGCATGTTGCAAACATTCAGTATGGATGGAGACTGACAAAGCCCCAACATTCTAATATGATTTGGAAGTCTTGAAAACACCCACATTAAAATTTGCAGTCAAATCGAATTTTTATGGTTTCCTCAAACACTAAGCTAGATACAAAAATCTCACAAAGAATGAAAAAGTTTTTATTTCAATAGTTCAATCTAATAAAAATATGAAACTCAGAAAAACCGGTAGTGTACAATGACATTCACCAAGAATATCGATAAATTTACCCACTGTGACGTCACTGGAAATATTATTTCGAATCTAATTGCACTAGAAGAAACTCCATATTACTATTAACGAAACCACAACGTTTTATGGAAATTGATGAAACGACGATTGA